TTTTTATTTGGTGCACCTATTTTCCAATAGTAGTAAAATTTCAAGTCTTCACTTCTGTGTGTTTTATCCTACTTCCTCTTGACTAGGGAAAAGTCAGATCATTCTATGGGCAATGACTAGGAATGATTTTGGGGATTACAACCTTTGAAACCTATGCCAACAGTGGAATACAATAGCCTGGACCCTAGAACAGAAAAAATAAATAATTAAATAAAAGCATCAGATCGCTTCCTCCAACAGGTGGAAAGGTAAAAACTGAACTTCAACGGAAGTTCAAAGGAAACCCTCTAGTCCAGCTGGAAATAGCAGAGTTTTAAAAAATACTGAAGAGTCCATTCTGCTACAGGTGACGGCCCTCGCGCTCCTCACATGTCTCAGACTGTATATCCAGAATAGGGTTGGTAAATGTAGAAGGGGAATCGGGTAACACCGGTTCATGGACTAAAGCTGGTTGTAGCAAGTCTTGGAGATTGGTGAATGCCATTGTGGAAATACATGAATTGAGTCTAAGTTTCGAAGATCAATACAAACTCACGAATGAATTGAGCCAGTAGATGGCACATGAAGGGGTCGATAGTAACCAGTTACTGGTAACCCATAGCATTACATAGTGTTTCCCAAAGTACCAATTTTATGACCGACACATACAGATTCCATTTACACATACACCAATATTGTAAATATTAAAATACATGGCACAAAAATTTTGTAACACCTCATTACAATCAATGAAATAGAAAAACAGATACCGATCAGAAATAAAATGACACCATGTAAAGAAATAAAATACAGTTAATCTATCCTACACATTAACAGTTAGAAAGTGAAAGAAAAGTACAAGCAACTATTTTCACGAGGTGTCCATCATGAGTAAGCCACTACATTCAAGAATTGATAGACTAATTTTGGACTTGGTATCATGAAGCCATAATGTCAGTGGCATATACAAATACATTTAAGGATGTGTGAGTTCGAAACTTACTTCTGAAAGCGCGACCTATAAGACTTCATAGAATGTGATTGGAATCGCTCCCTCAATTCTGCTATCACAGACCGCACCTGAAGATGCCTTTGCCAACAGAAAGCGACCATGATGAGAGTATCCAGAAAGTTATCTTTATATGCTATTTTCTCGTTTTTAGTTTGTTCAAGTACAACAACAACAAGAAGCATTTTTATCTTACAAGAGGAATGCAAGGGAAAGACATGTTCAAGGTTAACCCCTTATCTAGAGCATCCCAAATAGAATATGATAAGTAACGAATAAACCACAGAAGCTCATACCGATATCAACTTCGAGTATTCGGCAGCAGAAAGTGATTCCACCGATGAATTTCCCAAAAGATAAAGCTGTTATGAAACACAAATAGTGATAAGCCATGAAAAATGGATGGTCCTAATTGGATAACGGGAAAAGAAAACAACCAAAACTGTAAGGACAAGCACAACACAATCACACCCAGAATCCCAGGCTACCAAAAAACTTTTTTGTGAAGAATACAATACTGAGACCAATATTTGTAACCACAAGCACCTTTTTCTTCTATCTCATACATACTCGTACATCTCTTGCATCAGTTAAACGAAGTTAATTATTCGAAATTTTCTTTCAAGCAAAAAAAGTCAACTATTGGGAAAGATATATAAACACAACACAATTTCTGTAAGATGGATTTCAAAATAGAACTGTAAAATGCCCATAATATGGATACTTTCCATACCTGCGATAAGATGTCTGTCAGCACACACAACACCAATGAATTGAGATACTTACCAACTACTCTAGAAATCAGAATTAATCACATCAACAGATAACTGAATAAAACAAAGGACCAACATTTCAGCAAGGGAATTGATAGTTCAAAGATCCATCCAAAAGACCAAATCCCGTCCAACGAAATACTAGATCTAACTATATTCAGTCAATCATGATGGGGTAGCATTAAGTGAAGTGCATCGGCCAAACCAATGCATCAGACACGAATCCATGCATACACTTGCATGGAAGAGACAGTCTGACATGTTAAAAAAGAACCATTATCCTATACAGGCAGCAAAATCCCATTGACATACAGGTTCTGTTGCTAATATCAGACACTGGTGGGATGATGGGATCTGTTACATGCATTGAAATAGAGCATCAGTTCATACATGATCCTGGAGGGCTCTATTTGAGGCAGTCCATCACCTACAAAGAGAGCTTTTTCTATCATCATGCTCACATTGGATGGTTCAAATCAGAATATACAATGGTTTCAGGGTACCTACTTCTGCGCCCATGATAACACTTTAGTAATTTATACACATATATTATAAGAATACTTGGGTAAATTGCATAGATGGACTTTTATTTCGTGGATTTAACCCCTCATTTCAAACTAAAGAACTTCACCTATATTTAAATTGATCAGGGCACCCTGTTGGAGCAAGGTTTAGTGTTGTGTATCCGACCTATCAAAATGCTCATTAAGTGAATACTAAGACACTCAACACCCAACTTCTCCAGAGTATTACCAAATTGAAAATCATCTGCTATTAAAAATTTTAGAAAGCGAAGGATCACCTGTAACACCTGACTGGATCCATAAACTTTAAACACTTACAAAGAGCAGGCTTGGGAAGAGTTCATGGTGGAGACCTCACTCCAAGATAAGCAACATTTATGAAAACAATAAGAAAGTCTAATGTGGATGGGACTTTCAACTTTTCGAGATTCCTATGTCTCAGAACCCAGACGACGATGAAAATGCTTCAAACAAGTAGAGTGCATGCATAGAAATCATTGCAAGGGGTTAATACTAGGTACAAGTATTCGTTACTGTGAGGCAAAGGCTTTAGGCTTTTTAGCTGGTATGTCTTAGGTATAAATCAGTGTCTCTGTGATGTAATAGGTTTTTTAAATTAATTTATTTTACTATTTTCTAGATTTTTAGATTTAGGTTTATTTGCGTTTTTTTAGATTTCTTCAGAGTTATTTTTGTCTTTTTTTATTGTAGAGGTTTGAGGGGTAGAATTGAAAGTTTAATTATTATTTTTAAAGCTGAAGGGTTAGGATTTGAATAGCATTTCTTATGGAACTAGGTTATTTAAGTATAACGAAAGAGTTTTTTTATCTTGTGAAGAAATCTTTGAGTTGAACTCCCTTGCAGACCCTAAGAGAGGGTATGTTCTCTCAACTTTTATTATTATTTTATTTGAATTCTTTCTTTCCCAACTTTCTACAAAAAAAAAAAAAAAATTTACTTTCCCAACTTTCCACCATCTTCCCTGCATCAATTGGTATCGAAGCAAGAAGATCCAACATCACAGTGCCACCAGAACCTGCTCATACGATTTATGATTTAATGCCATACATTATAGAATGTACAAACAAGGCCACAGAGGAGAACATAAAGAGTATAAATCAAGACATAGAAGGAATTTGAGGAGAGATTGGCAAAGTGAATCAATAATTGCAGCGATTGGAAACACCACTCATCGAGAAGAGGGCACTTGCAATCATATAAATCTCACGCCAACTTTCACCTTTGATACAAAACTACCTCCACAATGGATTCCAAATGCCGATTCTATATGTAATGAACAAATTGTGATGCAAGAACCATGATCTAAAGAGCATCCACAAAATCTTGATATCAAGATCGATCTTCCACAGTTACATGAGGAGATTAAAAAAGAAATCAACATTGTGAGTAGCATTTTAGAGTTCCTTTATAAACTGCACATCAAGTATTTTATTTACAGTTTCATTGAAGAGGAAAAAGTATCCATAAAAATGGTAGGACTGCATTACCAATTATTGGAAAGAATATTAGAGGATATGATGAATTCGACGAGCTCGAGGTCGAGCTTTTTCCAACCCCGGGAGAATGATGTAATAGGTTTCTTTTAGTACTTTATTTTACTATTTTCTAAAGTTTTAGATTTAGGGTTATTTAGGTTTTTAGATTAGATTATTGGGGTTGTTAGATTTCTTTAGGATTATTTTTGTCTTTTTTGGTTGTAAAGATGTAAGGGGTAGACTTGGAAGTTTCTTTTCAAAGATGAAGGGTTAGGATCTGACTAGGGTTCTTATGGAACTAGATTATTTGAGAATAAAGAAAGTGTTTTTTATCTTGTGAAGAGATCTTTGGGGTGACACCCTTGTATACCTTGAGAGAGGGTATATTCTCTCAACCTTTATTATTATTTTATTCGAATTATTTCTTTCCCATCTTTCCACCATCTTCCCTGCACCATTTGGTATCATAGCTTTTCCCTGCATCACTTCGAAACATTATGGGAGTGACCTTGAAACAGGCATGGATAATGACACAAAGAAGACATGATTGCAAATATGTTATCAGAATGCTATAAATATTTACAGGCGTACATATTATAAATATAGATATATGCATAGAGAATGAAATACGGCAAATTAACAATTCTAAACCTCAACTCTCTTATCCAAATTAACAATTCCATGGCAATTTGAACCCCAAAATAGTGCTTGACGGCTTATTAGCTAATAGAAGTCAAATTCAAAAAATTTCTACATTCCAGGTTACAATACCAAGATGAGAAAATTGACTCAACAGTCATCATCTTTGTGTTTGTCGCCAATCGCCAACCCAAGTCCCTTAGATTGACGACAAAGACGAGCATTTATAGTTATTCGACTTTAGAGTTCAATTCAATTCAATAAAAAACCACTTTAATAGGGTTTCTAGAGTAGCTTAATCCAGAAATCGCCTAGAATCCATAAATTGGCTCGATTTAGAGCATTTAAAGCTCATTTCAATGAATTCCCAGAATCTAAGCTCCCTGAGGACCAATATAGCCTTTACAATCTTTAGATAACATTTCCCTCTATCAAATAATCATATGGTCCGAAATATTTAATACAATCCACATAATACACCCGAATCCAGACTTGATATTATTATAGGCTAGGGAGTAGCAGATAAATTCCACCAATCTACAACTGAGCCACGCGTTAGCCAAGCCCAGGGCATTCACACGTCAAACAAACTTATTGTTTCCTACATAACTGTTGGCCTGCTGGGAACCCCACAAGTGAGAGCCTCAGGTGATTATTTTCACTGTATCAAACTCTCACAGTGCTGCCTAGCCGAGGGCATTCACACGTCAAACAAACCCCACAACTGAGCCACGCGTTAGCCAAGCCGAGGGCATTCACACGTCAAACAAACTTATTGTTTCCTACATAACTGTTGGCCTGCTGGGAACCCCACAAGTGAGAGCCTCAGGCGATTATTTTCACTGTATCAGAACTCTCACAGTGCTGCCTAGTCAGCCATGGGCCCCAGCCGCCTAGTCACACACAATGAAGGGGGAGTGGGTGGTGTCAGGGTATTGAGGTCTGATGCCAAAGTCCCCCAAATTTATGTTTTTTTTTATTTTTAATTCTAGGGGTTGGGTGAATGCGAAGTTTTTTCTTGCACCAAAAATTAAACATGTTTTCTTTGTGCATCAAACAACATATCTAGAACATCACAAGTTTACATCTTGAGCAAACTTTAATCACACTAACAAGTGACAGAGTCATACAACATAGAAACCATTGTCATCACGTCATACAGATTAAAAAATACCATAATAGATAGCATTACCAGACAATGGTACTACAAGTCAGACAATACAAACAAAAAGAAAACTTAGAAGGCCTCTGAGTCCACTTCTAAGTACCAAACAGCGAAATGAGAAATCAAATTTCAACTAGCGAATTGAGTATCATCGTCAAGGTAAACAGCCTTATCATGAGCATCATGACCATCTCCATCATGGCCATCACCACTTGGATCAAATTCCAAACTGTCATTATTAATGTGATGCATATTTCCAACCCTGATTGGCTTTTATCTTTACCATTTGGGAAAGTGTTTTCGAACCCCATTTCAATCTTTTCATTGGGCAAAGACGCATAACTCAAACCCTGATCCATTCGCTTATTCGATCCTGAAGATGACATTCACCACCAAAAGCCATCAACCAAAACTTGAACCTTTTACAAAACCAAAACCTGTTAGAGTCATGGCCTTTCAAGGCCTTTACCCTACCATCCTATGATAGTTCTTGATCAAAGTGAAAGTGAACAAGAACGCCTGACTTACCGGATCTTGGCTATTTGGGATTCATAAAGTCAAAAAACTCTTCAGTCAAGAGGTATATCAAGAGGGCCTTAACCAAAACTGTGAGGTTTGAGGGTCTCCTATAGTCAGGGTCGGTATGAGAATGCTTCATGATTGAATAAGCCAGGGAAAGAATGAAGGATCTGATAATGCAATTAATATCGAGTTCCATGTGACAATAAACCTTGTGTGTGGCAAATGTTGTACAGCATCATTTGTTAGACAACGGAAACATTAAAGATAAAACATCCAAAACATTGAACAATGAAAGGTATTTTCTTTCTTCTCATTTGTATGGCAAATATTGTACAACATCATTTTGTATTGGTCATTTGGTCTTAATGGAGACTTGGAGCCTATGAGTTTGATATTATGAATTATGCACTCTAGGCTTTAGAGTATGGTGCATGGACACTAAATCACTAATACACTATGTACTTGTGTGTATGTTTTTCACTATTTTAGTTATTCAAAGAAGTAAAATTTTCAGTGATTTGAACATGTTTCAACATTCACATGCATATATTTTGTATAAAGAAGTTATTGAGGATACATATATATGCAAAAATACACATATTTAACACAAATAGGCATATATGTGTGTTTGGACAGCACATATATGCATACATGTATGTATCTCACAACTTTGAGCGCCTGAGCTCTCGGGCGGCTGCCCTAGACAACCCCCACCCCCCTGGCAGGGGGTTCCTAGGAGCCACCCAGCATTTTTTTTAAAACCTTGGAAGAAAAATATTCTAAAGAGGGCAACGGATGATACACTGACATGACAAACACCTTCCACTGAACTTTAGTACAATATTTCTATTGATATTATTTCCTAGAATTGAGAGTTCACAATCACATGATAAATGGTATACAGAGTTACCCTTAATCTAGTGCTGCAATCTTCTCTATGGTTGTTGCGATGGGGAATGCACTAACACAGAGGTAATTTGAAGTGATTTGGGTTGCAATTTGTAAGATAGTAAACCACCGACAGTGAGGATGTGGAGCTTAATCTTCATGCCCATCCAGTTTTTCTATATATGGAGGCTATGATGCCTCCGCCACACATGTAAACGCGAGCCCACAAGCGAATGCATAAATAAACCAAAACAGACAAACACAATTTCTTATGAAGACTTTTCAAGAGAGGAGAGGTTTAATTAAGTTTAAGGGGTAGTCTGGAGTCAATTATCCGAAGAATGCAGCCCTTACAGGACAGATTCCAAAGGTTTTCTCATTTTGGAGCTTTGAAGCATTTATTTTCCTTCTTTTTTGACAGTTAACCATTCATTCATTAAGATAAAGATTTCTCAGCTTCCGATGCTTTGATGACAGGATAAGGCAAATATGGGCGTAATAAACCATAGAACAGTGAGATAAAGAGGAGTTTATTTCCATGGTTCAAGGTAGAACAAGGATAATATGGTAGTTATCCCTTAAAAAAAAAAAAGGTAATAGGTAGGTATCCTTTCAAGATTTAGGAGAAAATAGAAGCATTTTGAGGTGAAAGAGATGGACTTGAAACAAGAGTGGATTATCAGCTAACAATCTTATGGAGTGTGTCCAATAATGTAAGAGAGACTTTCCAACAATATTAATGTAAAGACTCAACTATGGCCCTGCTCTTGGGCCTTAAAAGCTTCAACCACTCTTGGGGATCACACTTGTTTGCGGAAGGAGACGCCCAAATGTCATTTCCTGGGCAGCTGGGACCTCACCACATCAGTGGTATCTATCTTCGATTTTTTATGAGATTGCTCACACTTGCAAGGATATGGTCGTCTCATGGACGCATATCTGGAGGACGTCCAACGAGTTCGCCGATCTAGTGGCGAAAGACAAAGCTAGGGCCCAAGCAAAAGACCTCTACTAGATGACATTTTTGGTTGGGCCTGCAGGTGTCAAATAGTAGTCGCCGGTCCATCTCCTTTTTTGCTCTGGGAAATAGTGGGTTCACCTTGTGTTTAGTTACACTTCTTGTAATCAGGCAAGTCCACAAGCCCAATTTTTGGGTTACACTACAGTACACCTATTGTAATCCGGCAAGTCTATAGGCCCCAATATTTTGTATAGGGTCTTTGACCTATTTTTTGATCGAGAGACCCGACTTGTGGGTACTCTCGGATCCCTCCTGTTCCTTGACACACTCACAGCAATACAAAATTTAATTGTACTCAAAAAAAAAATGTAAACACTCAACTAGTCCTATTATCATGAATTGAACAAACCTGAAACATATAATTCCTTACAATGATTACCATTTGTGCATAATTTTGGACTTTAAGGACTCCATTTAGACGACCTGATAACCCTGTCCCAGCATTATCTGTTACCTGCCATTAGGGGCATCTATGAAAATAGACACTCATTTTTGGATAATAACATCCTTGACAATATCCTTTTCTTGTTTCTTTTCTTTTTTTTTCTTTTTTTTTTTTGCCGAAAGAAGCAAAAGGGATGTTTGCTTTCCTTGTGTCACATCCCGAAACCCCATTATTGGTGGCATTTTCAAATAAGAGACGTTTCATTCTTGAAAGGGCACCCATAAATAGCGGCACCTCAAGCACGCATGGCACTTGCTTGCTTTAAGGGAGTTTTGTCCCTAACCCCAAAAGCCAAGATGCCCAAATGCGGCCTAAACCTCCACATCCAATCACATGAGATTTTCTAGTGGACCACATCACTCACCATGACGGTATCAAATTTTGTAAATATAAGGATGAATAGACAATGTCAAGGGGATGACGAGAAAGTAACAAAAATGTGTTTTGGCCACTAAAATATCAAATGTTAATGACAGCCTACTCCTTGCAAAGAAATTCCTTAGGAGCTCTTACATTCATGGCTATTCCCTTGGGTGTGTTACCTAATCCGATCATTTAGATTTTAAAGTATGAAACAAGCCACACTTACCAAATAACCAGACTATCCAAAAAAAAGTCGAAAATAATCAGACAAAGATCCTAAAAAATATACAAGTTTTACATAAGACAGTATATAGGTAGTAAACAACAAAAGGATCAGCAAGCATGAATTTTTTTTCATCAAATATATTCTCTGAACCATCTTAAAGATTACACAATACACAACAGAACACAAGACAAGAATTAACCCGTAGCAGTATATTTCCTTTGCATTGAGAAAAGTTCATGACTAATTCCCATCAAGAATTTCGAGAAACTTTCTGGAGTCTATATTGTGATCACCGGAAGTTCAACCATGAAGTCCTTAAACATATATGCATTTCAATATTTGATTGAATAAAACCTTGAAAGGAAGTGTGAGAACATGTGGCAATCATGGAAGTCAATTACCTGACCGAATGGTACATATGAAGGTAGAGAAGGCACTCTCCTCCAACGTCTAGCCTCAGTGCGTTTAGCATCAGTTCTATGGGCATTGCCCTTAACTTCATCAGATGCCCCTCCATCCATATCAGATGGAGTAAGAGAAATACCATCAGCACCCTCTTGGATATCAAGAGATTGTGGGGTTGCCTCCACTTCATCAAGTGTTTCCGTTAAACCTGAGTTCTTTGCTACAGCTATTTCACCCAATTCATTCCTTTTTACTTTGAAACGACTTAACTGCTGTTGAACACTTCCTAATGGCACAAGCTTGGATAGTCTCCAAAAAGATTTCTGAATAGGTCCTAAACCCAGTACCAGCCGTTCCCCATTATTTTCTCTAGCTTTTACTGTTATTGACACCCCAATCCCACCTCCCGCACTGGGCTTCCCTAAAGATGAACCACTGAGATCCATGTCTACTGCACTTTGCAATGCCTGTGAACTGTAATGCTGAAAATAAGCAGGTGAGAGGAGACGGGGAACCAAGTCTTCAGGAATGCAATACGTCTTGAAATAGTGCTGCCATCCTTTCTTTTGAACATAGCTGATGAAAGACAAATATGATAGAAATGAACCACTTCCTACCATTATAAAACCAAAACCATCCAAATGATAAGGTAACATGAAATTTCTACACAAACTCCGACATATGCATGAGATATAAACATTAAAGTGTACACACATGGGTATGACGAACTCAGAAGTACAAAGACATACTCTCTCAAGGCTGCATTCCCAACAGGAGGCTGGGAAAAGGTGATACATTTAACTTGCACCCGCTCATTTTCTTTAACCGACGATGGAGAAGCAACAACCCTCAAAATAGCAAGGGTGGACAACACTGCAACCTGAAAACATAACAAACAGAACAAACTAACGATAAAGCACACATGTAATAATGTATAATCCAAAGAAAAAAAAGAAAATGCATTGTGCATGCCCTTACCGCACCACCAAGTGAATGACCGCAGAGAACAAGCTTCCTATTCTTTTTCTGGGCAAGCCTATACAACTCTAGTGCTGGAATGCCTTTAGCACGAGCCAAGAACCCCTATGCACATTACAAGGCAGTGACGCAATGAATAATCAGCATCTGTTGTGCCATATGAACAATAAGGATCCTTCACCTTGAAGTTCAGATAAATTCCCAAGGTTTTATTATCACAGAACAATTTTCAAACAAAAATAAGCCCATAATCTCACCTTATGTGCAGCTGGTCTCAATTTGGTTTGCAGATTATTAGAGTTTACTTGGAGACACCTCCCCGGGTCCACTCCCGCTTTACTATCTATATTATCCATCTCAGATTCTTCACCCAAATAAATATCTTCTGCAGTATCCTCATGAAATATGGCCCCCTGCAGTATATTTGCATCGGCTATGACATCCCTGCATGAATAAATAAATTTATATACTTTAGAAATTCAATAACATTTAAAAGAATCAAATCCAGGTCAACATTATTGAAGCTCACTTGTACTGCTTGGTACCAATGAAGGAAGCGAACAAGGTATCGCCTGCTTCAGCTAATAGATACCTGCAAAACATTAAAGAAGAAAACCACTAAAGACCTCTCATTCTGCACAGAACCACTACAAGATTCCCGAACCAATGCCCAGGTTTCACCCCACTAAGGAACATATCTGAGAAGAAAAGCGACTCATAATAAATCCATGGCCAGTCAGAAAATTTTTGGCAAAAAGCTTTGGATGCGTGACAAAATTTAACCTATCATTTTCAACCAATCAGTATAAACATGGAATACCAAATGGATGAGAGAGCAAATTACAGCAAAGCATCTGTATATTATAGTTTGTAAATCAAGAAAGTAAGCATCAGCATAGAACATAATGAACTATTGAACGCCACAGGAACTTTTAAAGGATGATTAATTATTAAACTGCAAAACCAACCAATAAGGACTACAAATTATTTAAATGCAATAAAGTCTCATTATCCAAATCCCCTGATATACAAATATAATCTGGCCAATCTGCCAGTAAATTGCCTCACTGTAGATATTCTTCGATTTATCATTTTGAAAGTTAATGGGAAGTTCAAACAAATGCTTTAAAATGCAGAAGTGGCCACCTAGGCAGGTCATTGCCTGCCCAGGCAGGTGCCTCATGATTGAGGCGCCACAAAGACAAGCAAGGGGTGTGGGGGGCGAGAGAGAGAGAAAGGGCAACATGAATTTGCATGTTGTGAGAGAGAGACACGCCATCCAATTGTTTAATGAAGAGAAAGGACGCAATATCCTCAAAACATTTTGATGAAATGCTGAAATACCAACAAGAAGAAGCAAGCAAAATAAACAAATAAACAAACAAACAACCTAGAGGGCCCCCTCCCCTCCCCCCCACACCCATCTAGCCCAAGATGATGCACCTAGGGCCCTGGCTCCCCTCGAGCGCTGCTTAGGTGCCAAGGTGGACTTTACAGGAACATGCTTCACAAAGAACAATTGCGTGGAGATGTAGGGTTTCACCATCAGCTAAGGGAGGACAATAACGCTCAACAGCCAAAAACTCGAGGGCAAGTTCTTTTCCAACCCAGGAAGTATGATGCAAATCACGTCTGGGATGTTTAGGAATAGGGGTACTTAAAAATTAATCTTATTTTATTTTATTTAATTTTTATAGGGTTGTGGTTGGACTTGTTTATTTATTTTCATAATTGTCAAGGTTCATTTTGAGGGATATCCATGTAGGGGTAAAAAAAGGGGTCTTATTTCAAATTAATGGGTTTAGATTTTCAGGATGGGCGTGGATGCGTTTCCTAGTTTGTAGCATTTCATGGTCCTAATTTGGTGGGGACCGTTAGCTAATTGGAAAGGGAAATATGAATATATAGGTGAGCACGTGAGATCCAAGAAAATTGGAAATTTGTTGGGAGTTTCACTACTTCAAAAAAAAAGGGATTAGCATGTACAGTTAACAACATCAAAAAAACGAAGGGATTAGCATGTTATCTTGTTAGTTTTAGCTATGGAAAGAGATTCATGTGGGGATGTGAATAAATTCCTATAAAAGTGGATCTAGAGAGAGAGAGAAAATAAGAGAATTACAGAAAGAGGGTGAACATGAGAGCAATCCTAAATTAAATGCGAGGTGCGTCATTTAGAGAGACTAGGGGGAATATTTCCTAAAAATTGTGGAGTGTACTTAGAGATAAATCTTTTGGTATTTTTTTATTTTTTATTTTACCTTGTTTGTACTAAAACAGTGGGTAAGTGCCCATTGAGAGGGGCACTTGGATATTTTCTGTAGAGAGTTTTATGAATGAAGAAAGGATAGTTTTTTTTTCCTTTGGCTTGATTTACAGTCATGGTTTCTTTCTCCATAGTTGCTGAATTTTGCTTCTTTAAAGATCGAATGAAGGCCGGATTTAATTTCTATACTGCTTTCACATCATTTGGTATCAGAGCTTTTAATTTTATATTTTTTAATATAAAAAATAAAGAGTTGGGAACATAATAAACAAATAATATTTTCCAATTTATTATTTGGACCAACGGATCTCAAAGCTCTGATACCAACGTATACAAGGAGAAAATAATAAACTGGAAAATAAAAAAATTGAGAGATTATACCCTCTCTCTGAATCTGCAAAGGAGTCCACCCCAAGATCCTTTCACAAGATCAAACTCTTTACTCAATCACCAATAATCTCCGTTACAAAGAAGGATATCTTCCCTTTAAATACACTTAGTTAAAAAATAAATAAATAAATAAAACCCACAAACAAAAATAACTCTCTCTCTCTCTCTCTCTCTCTCTCTCTCTCTCTCTCTCTCTCTCTCTATTGTCCACATACCCCCTTTTCAACCCACCCTTATCTCTAACTTCATATCTTGTAAAAACAAAGTTTGATATCTTTTTTAACTATTCCTTATCTCTTTCTTTCCTTTTCCTTTTATAATTATTATCAACCCATTAAGATATTCAACCTCAACCCCCACAAAAAAACTATATCCTCATAAAAATCTATCTTAACCAACCCCATAGAGAATTTACTATTCTACCCTTTAAATCTCTACAACTAAACAATATTAACCTTAAAAACTAAAAGTCTCAAATAACACCTTTTCTAAAATAAAAATATATATAAACAAAAAATTAAAAAACCGTGAATTTTATTTGTATCATTCTCCCAAGAGTTAGGAGAGCTCGACCTCAAGCTTAAGGAATTTGAAAATTTTCCTTCATTATCTTCTCCACTTTGTTCCAACTGGAAATTTTTACCCTTGTCTTGTCGAACTTTTGATTGTTGATTCTAATCGAACAAAGTTGTGATATGCTTAAAAAATCAATTGTGATACGAAAATCTCTTGCACCTTTCACCACTTGTATTTCATGAGTCTCAATCAACCAACTTCTGAAGCAAGCGGTGATTGTGATTAATGCTTGATCATCTACCTCTTCATGTTCTTCTTCCTCCAATTGCAATCTATGAAATAGATCTCATAGACCCTGTTCTATCGCTTTGCTAACACACTCTACTAGGACTTCTTTGAGTCTCTTAAATCTTTGATCCAATCACTCAAATATTTGATCTAGAGGCTCCATAACTAGAACATCAGTTATTGGTGATCAGCATGAATCTCAAGGCTCTTATTTGTGATCAGTACGGATCTCAAGGTTCTGATACCAATTGATATAGGGAGAAAATATTAAACTACAAAATAAAAATTAAAATTAAAAAGGTTGAGACTATACCCTCTCCCTAGGTATGCAAAGGAGTCCACTCCAAGATCTTTTCACAAAATCAAACTCTTTACTCAATCACAAATAATCTCAATTTCAAACAAGGGACATCATCTTGCATTTAAATACACATAGTTGAAAAAATAAACAAATAAATAAATCTACAAACAAAAATAACTTTCTCTCTGTCTATTCTCCACGTACCACCATTATAACCGACCCTTATCTCTCTCTAAGTTCATATCATGAGTCCATCATTCCAACCCACCCTTATCTCTCTCGAACTTCATACCTTGTAAAAAGACCCACCCTTATCTCTCTCTAACTTTATATCTTGTACAAAGAAGTTTGATATCTATTTTGTGGTACATGGAGAATATAGAAAGAGAGAAAAGTATTTTTGTTTATGGGTTTTATTTATTTATTTATTTTTCAACTAAGTGTATTTAAAGAAAAGATGTCCCTTCTTTAAAACGGAGATTATTGGTAATTGAGTAAAGTTTGATATAGTGAAAGATCTTGGGGTGGACTCCCTTGCAGACCCAGAGAGGGTATAACCTCTCAAACTTTTTTACTTTATATTTTTTTCTAGTATATTATTTTCTCCTTGCATCAGTTAGCATCAGAGCCCTGAGATCCATTGTTTCAAATAATAAACTGGAAAATATTATGTGTTTATTATTTTTCCAACTCTTTATTTTTTATAATAAAAAATATATAAAATTTAAAACTCTTATACCAAATGATGCGAAAGGAGTCCAGAAATTAAACCCGGCCTTCATTCAATCTTAAAACAAGCAAAATTCAGCAACTATTGAGAAAGAAATCATGGCTGTAAATCAAGCCAAAAGAAAAAAAAGCTATCTTTTCTATAGAAAATATCTAAGTCCCCCTCTCGATGGGCACGTACCCACTCTTTTAATACAAACAAGGTAAAATAAATATACAATAAAAAAGTATCAAAAGATCTATCTCTAACTACACTCCACAATTTTTAAGAAATATTCCCGCAGTCTCTCTAAATGACGCACCACCCATTTTATTTAAGATTGCTCTCAAGTCCACCCTCTTTTTCTCTAATTCTCTTATTTTCTCTCCCCCTTGATTCACTTTTATAGGAATTTACTCTCGCCCCACGTGAATCTCTTTCCATAGCTAAAACTAACAAGATAACATGGTAATCCCTTTTTTTTTGAAGTAGTGAAACTCCCAACAAATTCCCTATTTTCTTCGATCTCAGGTGCTCACCTTTATACCCATATTTCCCTTTCCAATTAGCTAACACTCCCCACCAAAATAGGATCATGAAATGGTATAAACTAGGAAACCCATCCACACCCATCCTAAAAATCAAAACCCATTAATTTGCCCAAGACATAAAAAAAATAAAAAAATAAAAAAATAAAAAATAAAAACCTTTTTAACCCCTACATGGATATCCCTCAAAATGAACCCCAACAATTATGAAAAATAAATAAACAAGTCCAACCACACCCCTATAAAAATAAAATAAAATACAATAAATTTTTAGTTAGCCCTACGCCTAAACATCCCACATGCGATTTGCATCATACTTCCCGAGTGGAAACGAACTCACCCTCCTCCCTTAGCTGGCGGAACCCTACATCTCCATGCAATTGTTCTTTGTGAAGCATGAGACTAAACAACTGCGATGCACCTCCGATGATCTTTGTGGCATATACCGTGGGCAACACATTGCAGACTGAGAGTTCGAAGTCATATGCCTTCACTGAAAAATAAGAAGCACCACTTCTAACTAAAGAAGTTTGACTTTCATCAAGGAAGTCTTCTCCCAAATGCAGTCCCAATC